CCTCAAAGATGTCCATGTCCTCATCCCCTGAACCTGGTAATTTGGTTACATGAAAAATTGGAAATTAAAGTTGCAGATGGAATGAAGATTGCTTATCTCTGACCTTAAATAAAGAGATTAACCTGGATTATCTGGATGGGCCCAATGTAATCACAGGGTCCTTAAACATGGAAGAGGAAGGCAGAAGACTCAGGGGGAAATGTGACTATGCAAGGAAGTCAGTGATGCCATGTGAAAAGGACTCAACTGGCTGGCCTTTGCTGTCTTTGAGGATGGAGGAAGGGGCCGAGAGCCAAAGAATGTGGGTGCCCTCTAGACGTTGCAAAAGGCCACAAGACAGATTCTCTCCTAGAACCTCCAGAAAGGAATGCAGCTCTGCTGACACCTTAAAACCTGTGTCGAACTTCTAACTTCCAGAATTGTAAGATCATACATGTGCGTTATTTTAAGCAGCTAAGCTTGTGGTAACCTGTTAAACAGCAATAGAAAAGTAATGCACCATATTTTTCATAGTTATATCATGCCTAAATATTTTTTTAATGTTGCTATGGTTTTTATAATTATTTGAATGGCCACACATTATTCCATGGAGCTGAAGGACTGTCATTTCCTTAACCATACTCTTTAATGGAACATTAGATGTGTGAATAGCTTTCTGCATTTTTCTTTTTTCATAAGCTTCATTATTTCCTAGGATATTCTACCAGAAATTAAATTTGAGCTTTTTCTGGGCTACTGATTCTCATCTATTAGTTGGCTTCTGTCTGTTCTTGAGCCAGGATTGCCCTGTTGGAATTCTTGTTGCTTTGTAAGACATGTACCTTCTTGTGAGGACAGCTCTTCTCTCTTATCACATTTTAGTTTAATTTTTTAATTGATTTTTTTAGATGGATCTTAATTTATTGTTTCTAGCTCCTAGAAAAGTCCCACTGAGAGTGTCTGATGTCCATTGCCTGGGCAAACACTTTCAAAGACCTTAGGCTTGTGGTCAAAGCCCTCAATGATGTGACTCCACTTTTCCTATTTCTGTTTTCGCAAACTGCACTTATGGTTAGGCCATTTCTTTCGTGTCTTCCCTGTTGATTGTTTTCCATTTTATGAGTCTGTGTGTATTCTAGTCCCAGTCCTGATTGTATGCCTCACCGTGAGATGATCTGTGATTTGTCTCACAAGCTCTTCCTCAGCAGCTCAGTATATGAGGAGTGTGAACATTGCAATCAGACAGCCCTGGATTTGAATCCCACCTCTGTTTCTTACTAGCTCTATGGCCTTGAATGAGTCACTCATCCTCCTTGAGCACTGGTTTCCTCTTTAAAATAAGGTCAGCATGTTTTCTTTGCAGAGTTGTCAACTGGATTATAGCTAATCATTACAAAGATTCTAGCAAGATCCTTGGTACTTAGCAGACAACCAGTGAGTATCACTGTTCATCTCATGACCTTATTATCCACCCTCATTAAACATAAATTCTTTAAAAGTAAGGACAGTTTATTATTCTTACATGTATACCCCATGGAGCCTAGGATATAATAGATGCTTAATAAATATTTACTATTTAAGTTTTCTCTCCCTTCTCCCTGTCTTATTAAAATCCCATCCATTTTCCAAGGCTACCACTGCAGCCCCATCTCCTTTATGACTCATCCTTGTCACCTTCACCACATTTGACCTAGTGGGTGAGTGCAGCTGAAGGATGCAAAATAGAGTGTAAGGGAGAAAAATACAGATTCATGGAGAGGATATATTAGATCTCTTCTAGCTTTAACTTTTATATAATTTTGGGATTTTATGGGGAAAGAGTTATTACTGAGCTCTTGTTAATATGCCCAAATGTTCCACATATGCTAGGGCTTCTCATCAAGCCACTTAAAACTCATCCCAGAATGAGAAGACAAGCCATACACTGGGAGAAATTATTTGCAAAAGACATATCTGATGAAGAACTGTTACCCAAAATTTACAAAGAACTCTTAAAACTCAATGGTAAGAAAATAAAAAACCCAATTAAAAAATAGGCCAAAGACTTTAACAGACACCTTATCAAAGAAGATATGCAATGGCAAATAAGCATATGAAAAGATGCTCCACATCATATATCATCAGAAAAATACAAATTAAAACAACAGTGAGATGACACTACATACCTCTTAGAATGGCCAAAATCTGGAACACTGATAACACCAAATGCTGGCAAGGATGTGGAGCAACAGGAATTCTCATTCATTGCTGGTGGGAATGCAAAATGATACAGCCCCTTTGGAAGGCAGTTTGGCAGTTTCTTAAAAAATGAAACATTCTCTTACCATATTATCCAATAACTGCATCCCTTGGCATTTATCCAAAGGAGTTGTAAACTTATATCCACACAAAAACTTCACATGATGTTTACAGCAGCTTTATTCATAATTACTAAAACTTGGATGCAATTAAGGTGTCCTTTGGTAGGTGAATGGATAAATAAACAGTGGTGCATCCAGACAATGTAATGTTATTCAGCACTAAAAAATGAACTATCAAGCCAAAGAAGCCATGGAGGAAGCTTAAATACGTATTACTAAGTGATAGAAGCCAATCTGAAAAGGCTACATACTGTAGGATTCCAATGGTATGACATTCTGGAAAAGGCAAAGCTATGGAGACAGGAAAAAGGTCATCAGTTTCCAGGGATTAGGGAGGAGGGAGAGAGGAATAGGCAGAGCACAGAGGATTTTTAGGACAGTGAAAATGCTCTATATGATACTTTAATGGTGGGTATGTGTTATTATACATTTGTCAAAACCCATAGAACATACAACATCAAGAGTGAACCATAAGGTAAACTATGTACTGTGGATGATAATGATGTGTCAGTGTAGGTTCATCAGTTGTGACAAATGTCTCACTCTGGTAGGGGATATTGATAATGGGGGAGGCTATGCATGTGTCGGGGCAGAGGGTATATGGGAAATCTCTGTACTTTCCCCTTAGTTTTGCTGTCAACCTTAAACTGCTCTAAAAACATAAAGCCTTCAAAAAAAACTCAAACTCAGCCAAACCCTTACCATGTTATACTCATTTTTTAGAAAAGTAAGTGAAGAGACAGAGAAGTTAAGTAGGAGAGCCTGGACTTTTATCCCAACTTTTTTGCCTCCAAAGTCTATGGTTTTTCTACTCTATCACACTGGAGAGACACTGGCAGTGCTCTGCCCATGGCCTCTCAGTTCTTACTCTTTGCTTCCAGGCCTATATCTTCCTACCAGGGACTCCTGTGCTTCTTCACCTTCTTGGACTGCAGAAATGTACTTGGCCCATGTGCCAGGCCAGAAGGACCAGAGTCAATGTCCTGCGGAGCAGCCCTTGATAACGATGGACAGGTATCAGTGGATAACTGTCCCAGCCTCCTCACCTGGTGAGGGGGACAAGAGGGCAGTGAACTGTGGTCCGACCTGTCTGTGGCTGAGATTAAGGGCCCGACCTGTCTGTGATCAATTAGGTGAAGAGCTGCAGAGTAAGCATTTAGAAACTTTTATAGCAATTGAACACAGACATTGTGTGTCTTTTGATTCTAATAATTTTTAAAAAGACTTGCTTTTGTATGTCTTTTTTAAATTTCATTTTTCTAATGATTCATTTTTGTTGTATTTACAAAAGTCTTGTTTTGCAATGGGTTGGACATTTTTTTAAAATTGATTTTTCACCACAAGAGTTTGAGAAACCCTATTCTATAGCAGCAGACTGACAAACTATAGCCCTTATGCTGGCTGTCTGGTTTTGTAAATAATGTTTCATTGGAACACAGCTGTACCTATTAATTTACGTTCTATCTATGGCTGCTTTTTCTCTGTGATGGCGAATTGAGTCATTGTAACAGACATCGTGTCCCCCAAAGCCTAAAGTATTCACCATCTGACCCTTTACAGGAAAAGTTGGCTGACCCCTGTTCTACTCTGTCTCCCCCATTCCCCAGCTGGATTGAGCTCTGAGGCCCACAGTGCTAACTTGCTTGCTAACATACCTTTTATTGCCTTCTTTCCCTTCCCTGTCTCATTTTCTCATTCTTCACCAGGGTTTCCTAGATCTCCTCTGAAATATTATTCTCCCCCCCACCCTTTTTTGGGGTGAGGAAGATTGGCCCTGAGCCAACACCTGTTACCAATCTTCCTCTTTTTTTGTTTCCTTCCCAAAGCCCCAGTACCTAGTTGTATATCCTAGTTGTAAGTCATTCTAGGTCTTCTATGTGGGATGCCACCACAGCATGACTTGATGAGCAGTGTGTAGGTCTGCACCCAGGATCTGAACTGGTGAGCCCGGGTTGCTGAAGCAGAATGTGCGAACTTAACCACTTGGCCATGGGGCCGGCCCTCGTACTCACATTCTTGACTCAAGGTTGACTTCTGGGGGAACTCAACCAGTGCACCCAACATGTCCTTGTTTGTCCTAATCCTAGGCCAAACTTACTAGCGGAGTAGGGACAACTTACTAGCAGTGACAACCTCAGCACATCAATTAAGCTATCACACTGCCCCCACCTCCACCAGCCTGTCTCTTCTGAAGCACCATGTGAAAATTCAACTTTGTGGGCATGAATTTTTCTGATTCATTTACTCTATCTTATCAAGTGCCACCTCTGCACCAGGGATGGTGGAGGAGAGGGTAAAGAAGGGGAGGAGAAAAGAAAATCCCATCTTGCCCTACATAGGATGCTCCCTTTTTATAACAGCAGCCTGCTTAGAGCCGAGCCCAAGGTGTCCATGCACCTGAGTTGCAGCTAGTTGTTTTCAACCTCACAGGACATGGCCAAGTCATTACCCACCCCCACTTTATTGCTGCTGCTTTCATTTGTCTCTGTCTGCCCCTCCTAATTACTTAGGTCACTTCAGACTTTAATTCTGTCTTCTAAAGTGTAACACAGCCATAATTAGGCCATATGTTAATTAGCAAGATGACGTCTTGTCACTCGTGAGAAATGTGGATCATCCCAGAATGTACCATAGAAAGGGGAGTTCAGTGAGAAGGGGAAGTCTAAGGAGGCTGGAAGTGACTCTCTGCTCAGCCAAAACTGCCTTAGAGAGCAGGAGAAAATGGCGGGATGCAAGAGGGGGAAAGGATGGGGTCACACAAAGAAAAAGAGCTAGAGTTGACCATTTCTCCACTCCAGCAATGAGATGTAAGCCAGGAGGCAAACCTGAGGCCACAAAGCCACCAGGGATGGCAGAATCTCCTGAAGGACTGGAGGTGGCCAGGGCTGAGGTCAAGGCCCCGATGGAGGCAAGGTGAGTGTCAGGCATGTCCTCATCTCTTATCCCTAGAAGGCTGTAGGGATGCCGTTCAAAAATCAAGGCCAATCTCTGTCTCTATGGCCACTCTAAGTGCCCTCCAGGAAATCTGAAAGAGTGGGGTTCTGGGAACTTGGGGACTATTTCTACATGCTATTTTACTAACATAATGTTAGTTCCCCCATTTTCTGTTAACTTATTTTCTGACATTCTTGGGATAAGAAAATGGAAAGAGGATTGGGCAGGTCATGATGATTTCCTGTTTCAGATAGTGTCACCTTTATCACTCAGGAAACAATTTTCCAGGAAACTAATTACTCAGGGAATTCATGATTAGGTTCGATGACATGTGAATTATAGAGATGTTAACCTCCCTCCAGTTTGCTGTCAAAACATGACGTGATGGGAACTTGTTCTGTCATCACCCAACCTATAGGTGAAAGGGACTGGGACAGGATTCTAAGTTGTGTATTTGTCTGGATTTCAGAAAAAGGCATTTGACACAGGAACTCTCAAAGCATACCAAAGGGGAAATTTTGAGGGATAAAGCTTGTGCTAAAAATAATATTCATAAATATTATTATTGCTAATATTTGTTGAGTTCCTACTATATTCCAAACCTTTACAGATAAACTTCAAATACTCCTAACAATCCTTCAAGTAAAGTATTATTATCCCCATTTAATTAGAAGCTTACAGACATTGGATCTTACTCAAAGATCACACTGCCAGCTGAGACAAAGCTGAAATCCATGTTTTTTTAACTCTAAAATTTGAGCTCTTGTCAGTATACTGGAGTGAGCAAACTTTTTCTGTAAAGGGCCAGATAGTAAATATTTTCAGTTTTGCTGGCCGGACGGTATGTGTTGCAAATACTCGATTCTGTTGTTGTAGTACATAGGCAGCCATAGACAATACATAAATGAATGAGTGTGGCTATGTTCCAATAAATCTTTATTTGCAGACACAAACATTTATTTTTAATATAATTTTCACATCATGAATTATTGTTCTTTGGAATTTTTCCGAACTGTTCAAAAATGGTAAAGTCATTCTGCTCACGGGCCATACAAAAACAGGTGGTAGCCCAGGTTTGGCCCACAGACTGTAGTTTGCTGACCCCTGTGCTATACAGAGCTGCCTGTCTAACAATGACTTATGAAAATAATGAAGTGACAGCAACTGGGCTACATATTTTACCCAAGGGAGGCAAGTCAACTACAGAAAAGCTTATTGGACCTGAAGCTGTAGGAAACAAAAGTTCTCATTCTGGCTCTTCCATCACATTAAATGTGTAGATTTAGATACATCTCAAAAACGTCTGGTTCTTGGCTCCTCATCTCCCAAATGAGACGGATCCCTAACAGCTCCACAGTTCTTTGATTTAATCACAGTATGCCTCCACCAAATGATTTCCATAAAATTGGAATTTGAATCTAAGATGGTTACTTGGATGGTGCCATCATTGAAGACTAGGGGAGAAGCAGGTTTGTGGATGACAGCAAAAGCGTGGTTGTGAACAAGTTACATTTGAGGCATCTAGTAGACATAAGCGGAGACAGCTGCATATAAGAACCTGGAGTTGAGGGAGAAGGCAGGACTAGAGACTGAAATTTTCATCAGCATGCAGACTGAATCTGGGTATATCATGGCATTGAATAAGGTCTTTTAGGGCAAGATTTCATAGCCTTGGCACTATTGATGTTTCGGGTGGGATAATTCTTTGTTGTGGGGGCTGTCCTGTCCTACAATGTACATTGCAGGGTGTTTAGTAGCATCCCTGGCCCTACCCACTAGATGCCATTAGAACACCTCCCCCGCCACCCCCGCTGTGACAACCAAAATTGTCTCCAGACATTGCCAAATGTCCCCAAGGGTAAAAATCACCCTTGGTAGAGAATCACTGTTTTATGAAAAAGACTGAGGATGGTCCCCAAGAACTCCAACTTTGGTGATCAGAAAGAGGAGGAGGAAATGGGAGAAGAGACTGAGAAGGAGTGCCCAGTGAAGTAAGAGGAAATCTCATGTGTGAGGTCGCAACTGTTTAGTGTGAACTTGGTTTAATAGTTGGTGAAAGGCAGAGGTGGAGGAACAAGAAGTAATGGTCCATAGCTCAGGGCTGAGCCCCGGCGGGCTCCACCGTATTTCCTTTTTGAGACCCCCAGTGGTAGTAGAAGGGACAGAGGCACATGAAGCATTAAGGTCATTCATTTTCTAACTGCCTGGAGCCTGAAGATAGTGCAATGGATGGAGTGTTTTCTAGTAGGGAATTAAACTAAATAGGAGGTTAAGAGTAACATTTAGAAACCAAAGATAGAGACCTTTACATGTTTCTTCTTTCTCATTTTATTTTTAGAAATAATTCCCGAAGGATAAAAATGTTGTTGTCTGAGTGCAGGAGAAAAACAAGAGCAGAAATAGAGTTGCTATGGTTTTGAGGAAAAGCAAAAGGGACTTAAGACCTGGAAGTTTTGCCTTCCTGAGCTGCGGGATGGACCCTCTTTGTTTTGTGGTCTCTTCACTCACTTCATGCCTAATAGTAGTAAAAAAAAAAAAAAAAGTGAACAGATTGTGTGAACTTTATACGTTTGAAAATGGAACAGCTATGACTTAGTAAAGTCCCAATATAAAGATTTTAAAAAATCAGTCCCTCATATTGAAATTAATGTCATTAGACAAGTGTGCCTCTTAGCCGCAGGCTTGATATTAAAGGACCAAAAGAAGGAGAAATATCTGCTTTGTCATCTTTATGTAAGTCTTCTCACTCCAAAATGGACATAATAAATTTACCTCATAAGGTTATTATGTAAAAAATGCCTAAAAGTGTGTAGTGCATAGTTGGGCTTCCATAAATGTTTAAAAGTAATGGCAGTGTGTGTCCTGGTTGTGGTGGTGATTACGCATGTCTAAACATGCAATGAAATTCCATAGAACGAGACACTCCACCTCTACCCCCCAAAAAGTGCAGCAAAAGAGTGAAACCCAAATAAGATTATTAGTTGAGTTAATAGTATTGCATCAGTGTCAATTTCCTGACTTTGGCCATGTGCTGTGGTTATGTAAGATGTTCTCATTTGGGCAAGCTGGGCGTAGGGGACAGAGAACTCTATAGTAGTTTACAACTTCTTGTGAGTCTTAAACTATTTTAAATAAAATTATTGAAAAGAAGCAAATAATTAGATGTTGAAATAGACTGAAAAGACCTTCTGTTTATGATTATTGTATTCCTCAGGATCATTGTGTTTTATGGTCAACTTTACCTTGTAGATTCATTTTTATTTTAAAGAGACTTGTATCATGAGTAAGCCAAATTATCAGGTTTTACTTATAAATGACAAAATAGAATGTGATCAATATATGTTCAGGCTAATGCAATAGGTTATAATCCAGAGCACGAACCTAAATTGATCTTAATAAACATGCAGTGACAAAGCCCAGTGATAGGTGAAAGTCTGAAATTAAACAGGATTACCATTTAGTCTTTAGTTGTGGCATATTTTATTTTTGGATAGTCCAAGACTCATCTAAGTTTGCCAAAGATTGAAATTTTCACACTACACATCCTTAAATTCCTTGAGAAGTAGAAAGTAGAGGTGGCTTGCCTACTGTTTTAGGTGAGAATTTCTACTTCAGCAGACTTTGGGGAGGGCAAACCTCCTCTATCTTGCTGATATGCCCAAGATGTGATCTATTTATATTACAAACCATATGCAGAGCCTGGCAAGTCTTTCTGTAAATGAGCTCATCCGCTCTGCCCTAAAATAGAGGCTGGGAGAGGGGCGCCAAAGACATTAGGGACCTTTCACAACCATTACGCCTCTTGGTGCTGATTGAACAGGAAGCATGAACAAAATCTATGAGTTCTGATAGGAAGGATAAATAATAAATACCTGTCAAGGGGAACAAGATGTCCTTGGTCTTCTTTGCGGGTCGTCAAAGTCAAGTTCTTAAAGACTTGAGTACTTTTTAATGGGTTTTCTTTTTTTGTGTATTGTAAAAATTGCAAGTACAGATAATTTAAGATTTGTCTTACTGATGGGCCTCCTTCAAAGTGGGATGAGTTTTATCTAGAGCTTCATTCAAACCAGCCAGTATTTATAGAACATTTATCCAGTGTTAAGTAATTAGATTTATCTGTAAGGAAATAGAGAAGAGCAGTTGCTGACCTCAAAAGGCTCCTAGACAAGTAGGAAAGAGATGAGAAAACAAAGTCTCTTACAAAATGACAGGCACAGCAAGAGAGGCACGTGCAAGTTTCAGAGAAAGGTGTAAGGGAGAAGTGATTAACTGTTTAGGATAACGTGGCTTAAACTGGGCCTGCAAAAGGATGTGTTCTTGGCGTATGTCGAGTTTGCTACAGTAATTTCAAAATTTTGTGTTTTCATTTAGATGGAAATTATATGTTTACATATATATATATACCTACAAACATTTTTCCAGTTATCTGGATGAGTCTGTAACTTTTTAAAAATTTTTTTATTGTATTAAGAACAGTTAACATGAGATCTACCCTCTTAACAAATTCTTGTGTCCAATACAGTATTGTTAACTTATAGGCACAGAGCTGTACATCAGATCTCTAGAGCTTATTCATCTTGCATAATTGAAACTTTAAACCTGTTTTCCCCTCCACTCAGACCCTGACAGCCATTATTGTACCCTCTGCTTCTATGAGTTTGACTACTCTGAGTTCCTCATATAAGTGGAATCATAGTATTTGTCCTTCTGTGACTGGCTTATTTCACTTGGCATAATCCAGGTATATTCATGTTGTCAGATATTGCAGGATTTCCCTTTTTTTAAAGGCTGAATAATATTACATTGTATGTATATGCCAATTTTCTTTATCCATTCTTCCGTCTATGGACATTTAGGTTGTTTCCTCATCTTAGTTATTGTGAATTGGGTGAGCCTGTATCTTATTGAATACTCATGGCCACGTGGTTTTAGTGTATTTGCATCTACGTACTCTTGAAATGAGTATTTTGCTTTAGTTT